ATGCAACAGAAAACACTGCTGATTCCTTCATGTGGCTGGCAAATCTAAGCATCTGTTTTTTTCAGTCATGAGAGATCCTTGTTTCTAGCTAGGAACAAACATGTTTTTATTTGGAAATAAGAACTATCTGTATCAAAGAATGACAATCCTCAGTGCAAGTTTCAATTGTGGCAGTGTTTCCCCTTGTGCTTTGTTCCTGTAATGCAATGTGCTGAAAATGCTTCCAGAATATTTGCATGCTAGTTCCTTTCAACTTGCTTGCTTTTGGCTATATTTGTCCATATCTGACATATCTGTTCTGCATTATGTATATAATCAGCCTTAATTATCCATATGTTTGATAGACTGGGCTTCCAATGTCTTAAATTTCATATGTAAACTGAGACTGGCATGTAAATACTCTCCAAACTTCCTAGTGAAAAAGTTGGGACATCTTGCTTACATCCTTCTTTTCCCCATTTTGAACTATTTATGATAGAAATCATAGAATAGCTTGGGTTGGAAGGGACCTCAGGGAACATAAAGTTCCAACCCCCCTGCCACAGGCAGAGTCACCAATCTCTAGATCAAGCACTAGAACAGATTACCAGGGCCCCATCCAATCTGGCCTTGAACACCTCCAGGGATGGGGCATCCACAACCTCTCTGGGCAGCCTGTGCCAGCACCTCACCACTTCCTCAGTAAAAAACTTTCCCCAACATCTAATCTAAATCTTCCCTCCTTACGTTTAAAATCATTCCCCCTTGTCCTGTCACTATCTATCCTTGTAAAAATTTGATTTACCTCATGCTTATAAACTCCTTTTAAATACTGGAAGGTCTCCCCACAGCCTTCTCTTTTCCAGGCTGAACAAACCCAGCTCTTTCAGCTTGTCTTCATAGAATTATAGAATGGCCTGGGACCTTCAACCCCCCTGCTACATGCAGGATCACTAACCACTAGACCAGGCTGCTCAGAGCCACATCCAGCCTGGCCTTGAATGCCTCCAGGGATGGGGCATCCACAACCTCCTTGGGCAACCTGTTCCAGTGTGTCACCACCCTTTGTGTGAAAAACTTCCTCCTAATATCCAACCTAAACCTCCCCTGTCTCAGCTTAAGACCATTCCCCCTTGTCTTATTACTCTCCACCCCCGTAAAGACTCGTTCTCCCTTCAGTTTATTCGTTCCTTTCAAATATTGGAAGGCCACAATGAGGTCTCCTTGGAGCTTTCTCTTCTCCAAACTAAACAAGCCCAGTTCCCTCAACCTTTTTTCATAGAAGAGGTGCCCCATCCCTCTGATCATCTTAGTGGCCCTCCTCTAAACCCATTCCAAGAACTTCACATCCTTTTTGTACTGGGGAACCCAGACCTGGATGCAGTACTCCAGATGGGGCCTCACAAGAGCTGAGCAGAGGGGAACAATCACCACCCTCATCCTTCTGGCCACCACTCTTGTGATGGAACCCAGGATACCATTGGCCTTCCAGGCTGCAAGCACACACTGCTGCCTCATGTTCAGTTTTTCATCAGCCAGGATGATGAAATCCTTCTCAGTAGGGCAATTCTTAATGAGTTCTTCTCCCACTTTGTATATACATCTGGGATTACTTCAACTCGATTCAATCTTGAACTTTCAGGGTGTGGTTCTTATGCTGATTCTTTTTTTTCGCTGGAAAATCTTTGTCAAATTGGCTATTTCTAAATATTCAGGAAATAAACATCCTTCCAAAGTTTTTAAAATAAGTGTTTTCTATTTTTATTTTTTTTCCCCCTACTTTGGAAGTACTAGCAGCCGCAACTTCAAATTTGGCAAGGAGGTAGCTTTTGAGTCAATATAAAGCATTTTGTTATCCATGGGAAAATATGCGCCAGTTAGGTTAGTTAGAAAACTCTGAGGATTATTTTCTAGATTTTAAAAGCTGAAATGTCTGAGCATTCAGTAAAAACTCTCAGAGCGCTCAGGGCTGCTCAACCATTAACATGCAGTCTTTAAGGAATGAGTGAGTATGGTGGAGCTCCTTGCAATCCACTTCATGTATTAAAGGAATGGGGTACACTCCATCCTAGGGCTACAGAGCTAAAACCTGAGACCCCTGTAATTGTGGACTTAGCTTGGGGAACAAGTAGTGGAAATGGGATTGGGACAGTGTGTCAGGTATGACAGCAACTTAAAGAATCAGAATCATTAACATTAGAAAAGACCTCTAAGACCATCTAGCCCAACCACCAACCTATCTCCATCATGCCCACTGCCCATGTCCCTAAGTACCACATCCACACCGTCCTTGAACACCTCCACCACCTCCTTGGGCAGCCTGTGCCACCGCCTCATCACTCTTCCTGAGAAGGAAGGTTTCCTAATATCTAACCTGAATACTGCTAGGTAATAAGATACAAGTTCATGGTATGTCACACACTGTCAGTTTACTGTCCTTGACAAATGAGGGGATGACATAGTCTAAACCAAAATGCACAAACGAAGAGTCAGAATCAGTTCAAATCAGAAGAGCATCTTCGGTTCACTAGAAAGTCCTCTGAAGAGAAAAAGAGAACAATATTCTAGGTGTATAAAGATGAATTCCCCATGGGTATGAGGAAAGTAACTTCATGTATTAATTTATTTAAGATGCTTGATTATAAAATATAATAATTACCATTAACTGTAAAAGGTGGACACTATCCATTAAGCATGAATCAAACATGTTCCTGAAGCTTTTACTGGCCACCATTCACTCTTTTAATGTGCATACACATGTAAAAAGAAGAATTAAGCCCAAGCTCTGCAGCTCCCTCTCTGCAGGGTCCAGAGGTACTTGTTCAGGCAGTCTGGACAGCTTGAACACAACTCTACAGAGTATAGCAGAAAGATCCCAGTAATAGAGGTCACCAAAGCAAAGTTCTTACAAGAGTTCTTCCCACCACAAAGGGCTCAATGCAAGAAGCACCCCTGGTGCCCAGCTTACACCCTTCCTACTGGTGCAGAGCTGATTTCATATCCTTGGCAGTGACTGCACACAGATGTGTGTGTGCAGAAGCCAGGAGGAGGATGGGCAAGTAGATTGCATTGGCTTTTACAGACACTATCTCTCAAGACCATTCCTCACTCCAAGGAACAGTTACCTCCAGAGGTGCCAGTCAGGATTTGAGATGTGTTTTGCTAGGCACTGTATGAATACTTTAAAAAGCCACCATCTCATCACTGGGAAGCTCTCACAATATAGCAAGCAAGGTTGCTTGTCCCTCATATAAATTTCATGTATTAAAGAACTGGTTTATCCCAATGTTTCCTATCATTTCGGGTAAGCACCAAGTAAAGAGTATTAAGGATATAACAGTAGCAGAGGAGAGAGTAACCTTACCAGATGAGCCATCTGCAAATGTATCTTCAGAGAAACAAGCAGCAGCAAGTCAGTTCTGGGATAAGAGAGATGTAGAAGGGGAAATCCTGTCCATACTGGACCATATTTTACTGTATATCTCACCAGAATCAAAATCTTAGATATGCAATTATAAAAGCAGAAATCAGCACTTCATACGTAGCTGAGGTATAGGTATTTTGGTACAGACTGAGCAGCTATCTGAAAACCAAAACAAATCAAGGGTTGATAGGAATTACTGTGCCCAGCTACGATTGGTACTCTGTATTAGAGATGGATTAATTATGAAATAAGGCATTTATTGTTCATTTTTCTACAGTTGCTTTCTTTAAGCGATGTATGTCCTAACCCTTAAGAGGTAAACTATGCCACTGGCATGGCATAAGGGTTTCCATTGGCAAGGAAAATGTTCCTGTACCTCAAGAGGGTTGTGATGTTTACTTGTCCTCCTAATTCCTCTGACAAATTTTCAAGGATTGCAACACCTTGAAATTTCCAGCTTGACTCCATTGACAGTAGGCTTTAATCCATGAACTGTTCTGAACGAACCTACTGATGCTCACACTATGAGTCAAGATGTGAAATAGGAATGCCCAGTGTAATTTCTAAAACACTATTGTAGATTGGAAAGCCAGAGGAGCAAAGTGCCCTCCAGGCATGAAAAGCTTCACAGAGTCCTAGAAACCATATTCAGATCACACATTATGGGTGGTAATTCCCTAAGTGGAATGTGTGCCTTACAGGAACCTTAAAGATGAAGAGCAAAATGACTTGTGCTACCAGGAAAATATCCAGGCACATGGTAAAACCAAAAAGTCATGCTGCTTTGTGTATAAATTCATTGCAGTTTAATCACAGAATGGTTTGGGTTGGAAGGGAGCTCAGAGCCCACTCAGTCCCAACCCCTGCCATGGGCAGGGCTGCCTCCCACCAGCTCAGGCTGCCCAGGACCCCATCCAACCTGGCCTTGAGCGCCTCCAGGGATGGGGCACCACAGCTTCTCTGGAAAGTGGATCTGAGCCGCATTTTGGGACGCATTTTTGTTCTGGTAAGGAGTGAAGCACCCATCGCTGTGGGGAACTCAGCCGCTTGCAGGACGCATCACTCAGCAACACCACCTGTAGCGACCGATCTGTAGCGCGGGTATTCCCAGCCGCTTCTCCGCGGCATTTAGCAAAAGAGCACCAACACCCGCACTGCACGAGCTACCCAAAGAAGCACCGATGAAAAACACCATCGTTCTCGAGATGCAAAACCGCCAGCATGTATCCCTGCAAACTTCCACACCTGTAGACGTTAAAAGTCACTTTTTCCTACAGATTTCCCTCCGACGAGCAAAACGTGCAAACCACCACGGGAAGCGGACACATCCTAAGACGCCAACATGGATATTTTTTTTTTCCTTTTTTTTTTTCTCTCTCTGTTTTCCCATCCAAGTGGACCCGGAGCCAGCGCAGACCCGACCTCGCATGAACGACCGCCCAATCCCCCGAGGTGCCCGCATGGACGGGGCGATCCCGGGTATTCAGGCAGGCACTCCGCAGCCCCATGCACCGTCCACCGGCGCTGGATGAGTTCCGGGACCGCTCCCGGCGGGGATGTCCCGCTAGAGACCGACACCGCGTCCTCTCGAACCCACCTGAGATACCGCCCCCGACCACCACCACGTCGTACGGCTCGGCCATACTGCTGCCGCTCGCCCCGGTCGTTGCCTTCAACCCGCCCTTCCGCGGCGGCGTCTCGGGACCAGCTCCCGGCGGACCGACAGAGCCGCGCCGTCCCGCCCGCCCCGCCCGCCAATGGGAGCCGCCAGGGGGCGGGGCCTCGATAAGCCACGCCCCCCCTCGGTTGTTCGCCCGACGGGGCGGTCGGGTCCCGCTTTGGGCGCGGTGTGAGGGGGTCGGGGGTGACGTAGTGTTTGCTCTGTTGTGGCCGTGCTGATCAGAGCTGACAGTGAGCATGGGATACCTGGATATCTGCGTGGGACCGAGGTTACAGGTGGCAGCAGCAAAGCCTTAGCGTTTGTTAGAAGCAAACAGCACTCGTGAGCCGGCGACTGAAGCGTTAACATTCACGTTGTCCCCACGGTGATGCCCGCAGTAACAGCTGGTTGGCAAAATGCCGGTTCTGTTTGTACTTGTACTACTATGCTCTGCTCTATGAGGTCGTGGTGCGTTCTGCAGCTCACCCACTTTTATTGCTGAAGTGTAAATGTCATCTCTGGGCAGCTCAGTAGAAAAAATAGGCAGACTGCCTGTGTATCTCCTTCCAGGTAAGCACAGAAGACCTTTAAAATTCACATAATTATAGGAAATCCTAATGCCACTTCACGATAAATATTGATACAAGTTCTGAGAGATGTCGGATTCCACAATCACCTCCATGCCTGAGCAGGACCAAAGGAATGAATGGGAGTTTGATGCTACACAGGCAGTGCCCACAGAAATGCTTTGGCTTTCCCACAGCTGGGGTAATTAGGGCTTTTGATTTGTTCTAATTATGCCAAAGCAAGACAGCGGTGATCAGAGGCAAAAATACATATGAAACCACTTATCTTCATGAAGATCAAGAGTAGGAGACACAGAATAATAGTTTTTTCAAAGTAAAAATAGGTACTGGGAAAAGTATCTGCTATCTAAAAGTATCCAGCATCTAAAAGGGGGCTATAAGAAAGAAGGAGACAGACTCTTTAGCAGTGACTGTTAAGACAGGACAAGAGGAAATGGTTTCAAACTAAAACACAGGAGATTTAGACCAGACACAAGGAAGAAGTTTTTTACAATACAGGTGGTGAGGCACTGGCACAGGTTGCCCAGAGGGGCAGTGGATGCTCTGTCCCTGGAGACGCTCAAGGTCAGGCTGGACTGGGCTCTGAGCAACCTGAGGTAGCTGTAGGTGTCCCTGTTTGTTGCAGGGGAATTGGACCAGATGACCCTTAAGAGTCCTTTCCAACTTAAACAATTCTGTGATTCTATTCTATAAAAAGGAGGGTCTGCAGAGCTAGTTCAATGAAATGAAGGCACACAAGTGCCAGATATTAATGCAAAACTGCCAGACAGCTCTCAAGAAGACCACTGACAGATACAGCAGCTCGTTGTCACTGAGACAGCTGCTGCTTCGTGCCAGAGTAAAGTGAGCTCAGAGGGGACAGCCCAGGATGGTGAGTGATTGGTATTTTGGAACAAAACATGCAACACAGCAGCAGTTGTTTGTGCTTACTGGGGGAAAACAACTCTGCTTCTGGAGAGTGGTACGGAGAACCATTCTCATAGCTCTGCTGGCCCTGCTGAATGGGTCACCAGGAGTTGAACAAACAAAAAGCGTCACCAAGTGTCGCTTCCCTCAATATCCAGAAGCCAAGTTTTGTGGAGAGCAACAAAAACATCCTCTTCACTAATGAGGAAACTTGTGTGCATCTAGATAACTGGATGATAGATGAGGTTGCCAAAAAAATCTCTGCTGCTGAATGCAGCTGCAGCTGGCTTGTTAAAGAGCAGTAGAGATTTACATGGCTTTACCTAACGCAGCTCTAATGATGAGAAATGACATCAAAGTACAAAATACACACATTGTGTTAGCCAAGCAGGTAAAATTTGATTTGGAAAGAAGTTAATTGTTGCTTAGAACAGAGAGATTAATAATAAAGAAATGCTCACCAATGGCCCCCATTCCTTATGTACTACCAAAAAAAAACCCAAACAAACCAGCAAGCAACTCTGGAGGATGAGGGTAGGAAACTACTGTTGCTGATATCACACCTAGCAAAATATCCTGTCTGCTTCAGTGAATGAGTTGCAATAATAATTTACTAAGCCTGGGGAACATGTATAATTGGTAATATACTTGGTATATAGTATCACAAGACTGACATAGATTTGCATATTTACCAAGAAAACAAATAAACAAATAAAAAAACCAGCCCACGCATAAAGGTGTTGAGTAATACAGTAGAACATCCAGAGCAAGACTTTCACTTGACATCACAGCTATGTCTGCAATGAAAAAACAGTCATGTAAGAATGAGTCAAAATGCACCAATTTCTTAGTCAAACAACAGGAGGAAAATTATTCAAAAATAAATGCTGTCATTAAGTTCTTTGTTGTGCGAAGTGTATTTTGCCTATCAGTTATTGATGTGAGCAAGTCAAATGTCTCAGGTTATGTTATCAGTAGCCATGGTCACGTGTTATTTTCCTATCTGATTATTACCTCAAATGATGAGTAAAATCAGCCATAATCATTTGGGAAGGCACAGATATTTTGTACTTCTTCCTGTTGTCACTGTTACAATATTTTGCCAATGCATTTGAGTATCAGAACACAGACTTCGGCAAAAAATGCTGGCATTAAAATAAACTTTTTTTTTTTTTTTTTAATAAATACTCTGTTGTAGATTAATGTGTATAACTTGTTAATTCTTTATTTTTAAGAGTGTCTTTCAACAAATGAATACAAAGAAACTTAATGCTATAAGACAAAAATGCATTATGCCTAGAAGACTGATTGTCATTAAGATTGCTGCCACTTAGCTACCTCTAAAACCAAGTATTTCCTTTATCTTAACAATGTCAACAGAGATGAAATATCCTACAACTTGCCATCTTCAGTGTTACCACCAGCTTAAATTTTTACCATTAGTTAATCATCTGTATTGATTAACAGTCTACTTTTCAGGCATGAAGATGAGCTCTCAAGAGAATATCTGAGCATTTTGCAAAGCTTGATTCTACATCTACATGCCAACATATACTCATTCTGGCAGTGACATGGATAATACTCTTCTTTACATCAAGTTGGAACATGAAAAACTGCAAAAAATAACCCAAACTCTTCCAGACATCAGACTTCATAGTTCTGATACGAGCACATCAGTTGGGCAACAGTGTGCATGATATGTGGCAACTTCAATCCTCAACTGTAGGTGATACAGTATGTTTTACAGACAGTTTTACATTCTGGAACAATATCTTAGTGTTACAATAGATTTTAGATCTTCAATTAGTTTACAATACTAATGATGTTTACAGAGTCCTCTGTAATTTTTTTTCCCCATAGATTTTATCACTAATAAAAATGCCAAATGGTAAAATAGCACATGTAAATACACTGTGTTGTATACTATGAGTAGAAGAGAAAAGGAAAAGCTGTTCTAGAAAATCCAATACATAATATCCAAACAAACAACCTCTAATCAAAGTCCCTCCAAGGGATTTCTGAGAGTGGAAATAGGGAAAACGTGTTCCCAAGTAGAAAGGAAGAGGCAGTCCTGCCTCCTCCTCAAAGCTGATCCCACTGGAGCAGGTGTCCCAGGGCTTGACCAGCTTAGTTTTGAATGCATTGAAGAATGGAGACTCCAGAACCCCCCCGGGCACCTGCTCCAAAGTTGGACCACCTCCACAGTAGAGCTGTTTCTCCTCATTCTGAGTTGAAACTAACTTCTCACATTTTCAAGAGATGTTAGCTACACCTGTACCATCACAGTGCACCCTGGGTGTTTTGTGCATCTTCCTGCTTGGCTGCTTTGGACTCTTGCACTCTTCTGTTGGAGGTATTTTGGGAACTATTAAAAACATTACACTAGATAGTGGGTCTTGAACTTACACCTTCATATTCCCATGTCCTCTTTGAGTACCCTGGGGGATGTTTGTCGTCTCTTTGGCTCTCTCTTGTTCTTTGGATACATAAGTATTTCAGTCAACTGGAATGGTCTTAAGAGGGGAATGATAAAGAGATTATATGAGAGTTTGGTAAAAGCTGGGAAGAATCAAGATGTGAACAATATTGTAGAGCATTAATACACAATTACTGACCGAGTTGTATATTCCTAGCTTTTCAAGCCCACTTTCTTACTTAGGCATGTATTCAAAACTATCAGGAAATAATCACCATTCCCGTATGGTAAAGTAGTCCTAACTGCTATGAAAAAGGCTTTTACACACAGACATGGCTGGGACATGTTTATTCATCATTATTCATCTTTATTGGCATGTTTTCAACAATTATAGGGGCTTGAAGCTTCCTGGATATCTCTATTTCAAGCCCTGCACTAAGCTTTAATCAATGAATAAGCATCTTGAAGCAATTTATCATCACTCGTGGTTATTAACATTTGATTAGATTTTTTTTTTTTTTTATCTTATCACCATAACCTTCTGAAGAATAACCCAGGCAATTATTGCAGGCAATAAAAATTTAGTACTTAACCCTCTCCTTGACGTGTGTTTCTTACCCTCTCTGTTCCCAGGTGCTGCCTATCCCAAGTGCGAGGCAGTGGCAGTGGGATGCAGCACTGTGGGATGGAATGGGGCTGTGGGAAGAGAGGGGCTTCAAGCTGGTCCCCACCATTGGCAGAGTTTTTGCTCTTCAGGGATGGATCTGTACTCAAATCATCTGCTTTCCATCTTCTGCTCTGCTCCAGAGTCGCTGGCCCCATCTGCTGTGCTGGATGCAGAATGAATCACTCATGTGGCTCTGCTGTGTTTGCGAAGCTGGAAAATTTGGGTAGGGATGGGGAGAACAGGTGACTGGATATCAGGAATTTTCTTAAAGCCGTGATCAAAAGGTCAACTTTAATGTCCACAAGGAAACCTACTCAAATATATTTAAAACATTTATCTAAATTTAAAAGTCCAGCTCTGTGACAGAGAGGATAGAGTAACAATGCTGGTTGAGGCTTATGCCCTAAGGGAAAAGTCATCAGACACACACAAAGAAGTTCACTGTTGCCCAAAGTAAACTCTTCCATACTGACTGGATAAAGTCTTCACCAAAAGATATTTTG